AGCGTAGGTGTGGATTATATTATTATTTATATAGATTGCCTTCAGAGCGGCGTGATTAGAGCTTTCCCGCCATTTTTGGAACCTCAAGTTTACTGCTTGATGATATAACCCTAATCTAATTGTTAACATTTAACAAAAGTGCTTGCTATTTAATTTAACATGCAAATGCATGTCATGTCAACCGGAACTTGAACACCACAGCAGAGAGTATTTTATGCAGCTAATAAATTTGGCAAACTTTGCTGGAAGAGAGATTTTTGAATTTTAGAAAAAAGGCGGGATAATTCAATGAAGGGTGGTGGCAGAACTGCAATCTTGATACTCTATTGCGATTCCTGCTATGATAACCTACGTAACAATTTTCATATACACATATACGAACACGTCAGTTGAGCATCTAACTCATGGTCATCACACACATATACGAACACGTCAGTTGAGCATCTAACTCATCGTCATCACAAAACACTTGCTTTGAGTCGCTTCGTATTCACGTCGCCTGCAGGCGCGTGGTTTACCGCATCTCAATGCCGGAAATTCATTTGCATTACGGGATGCTACAATTCTTCTAAATACTAAATTATCAATAATTACTTAAGCAATTTACTAGAGGTATTACCTCTCCAAAATATATAACACGGTTTTGCAAGAGTCTACTTTTTCTTACGAACCATATGCCATCCATCCAAAAACATTAACAACAAATTTGCAATTTATAATTATATTTCTATTTTTCAGTGCAAATCAGGATTATTTCGTTATTTATGAAATGATTTCTAAAGAATGACAAATATTTCATTGCAATTAATTTCTTATAATGCACAAAAATCATTTGATTGACCAAAATTAGTCAATATTTCATTGTTTCATTTTATGGGTAACAAATTCATAGTTTGGATCATCCATACGGTTAAAAAACGAATGCTCGATGATTATTTCGAGTTTTATTTCCTCTTATCTTGAATACCACAAATTATTTGAATCTCAATAATTACAGCTGAAATCAATGAGGTAATAAGTGAACAGTCGCAGGACAGTCTATACTGACTGTACAGGAGGAGACAAAATAAAGGAAACACATGAAAATTTTATATCGTAATTTTTTAACATGATATAAACAAAGGAAACGTGACATATTTTATGTTATATTTTTTATTAAATGTGTATAACGATATTAATGATAATAATGTGGTATCATGAAATTAATTTACCAATTACTTAGAGTTAAAAATGGCTGTGTAAGCATGTAGCACTTCTGCAATAAACTAGCGAATAATGCCTCTATGATACTCACATTAACGATGTTTGAGGCCCTAAGGAGCAATTTATACATATATTTTATTAAAGCTTCTTCACAAATGACAGTAGTTGGCATTACATGATTATCAGTTATGTTTTACGTTCTTCTAAACATTAATATGATTGTTTTTAAAGAATTCAAGAGTACGAATTGTATTGTCATTTTTAAATTCCTATTGAGTATATGTGTAGCGGGCCCTCGAAGTTCGTTTGAACCAGACGCTTCGTAGCATAATAATAATAATAATACAATTATTATATTAAGATAAAGCGATATAAGTTCCTGTACTTTAAGACTACTGCACGATGTTGAGCCCAGCCCTCATAAGACCAACATAATGCATGAGGTTTGGGGATGTGCAGGAGAAATATATTACCTGAACCGCTGATGCATGGCAAGTCTTCATCACTGAGCAGTGCTTTATGCCGGCAGTGGGAGACTGCGCCATGAACGATGGCTGCTGTGATGGGGAGGGTTTCCAGTCATTGGGCCCGCATTGTCAGTGCCTCATGGAGCTGTGGGGCCATCTGCAGAAGGTCCTTATCAGCTAGGGCCTCGCAAAACTGTGGGACCATCAGCCGTAAGTCATACCAAACTGAGGCCTCGAAAAACGTGTAGGGTCTTCTGCAGGAGGTCATGCTAGACTAAGGCCACGAAAAGTTGTGGGGCTCTGCAGTAAGTTCTTCCAAACTGAGGCCTCGTGGAGCTGTGGGGCCTTCTGCAGGAGGTCATACTAAACTGAGGTCCTCGCAGAACTGTGGGGCCATATGTAGAAGGCCCTTATCAGCTAGGGCCTCGCACAGCTGTGGGACTCTGCAGGTTTAGTCAACCGCCGAAAAAAGTAACGTATCTCAGACTATGAAGATTCTCACTTTGGTCCCTTCTAGAATGAATTTCAGGCTTCAATGAGCATGGATTAATTAAAGTGAATGCATTTCACGTTAAACATAAGGGATACGCGAAATTACATCGACTATCAAAACGTTGTAATGCTGAGAAATAATTACAGAGGGATTTACCCTGTTTTTCGCAAAATTCATGACTTGACAGACCAAGAGTTCTATTCATTACCAATCGTGTGATGAGATAACTCAGTATCTCGGTTCCTTTCTCTAAGATTTCATTTTTTCTTTAGTTTTGTTCTCGAGTAGTTGAGAGGGTGGAATTGTATTATTGAGTTCATCATAGGAGCATGCATCAGATGCACGGACGTACGTATTCTAAGGGAGTTATATAGGTAATGTGGACATATTTTCAGGGAGGTGTTACAGGTTATGTAAATGGAAATTTTCATCTATTTTGTAGGATTGATTATTCGATTTTTGTATTAACTGAAAGGATTGCTATACACAAGGAGAAATTGTAATGAACCAGCCATGTGTGATGACCGTAAACATTGCCAGATGTTAAAGCGACACTCATTTGATTAAAATGCTTACCCCTGCCAATAATTATCAAACTTTTCTCTCGAGAAAATTGTTTGTTGTCGTTTCTGGTCAATTCATGATTGCAGAGTACCTATATGGTTTTTTTATTAACACGTTGACTCGGAAGTGGTACATGTGAGTACCACGAAATGATTGCAGAGTACCAATATGTTTTTTTTTATTAACACGTTGACTCGGAAGTGGTACATGTGAGTACCACGAAGTGTATTTCTCCGGGACGTAGTGGGTTGCCAGATGGCCTAAAGTCAGGGTTGCCAGATGGCCTAAAAACGGCCAAGTCCGCGAACAAAAAAGTCAAAAAGGCATATAACTCAATATATACTAGTATATTTGTAGGTTTCTGTGTAAAAATCACATTTATTTATTTTTGAATTTTTTAAAATTTAATTAGATAGTACCCTATCATAAATTTTAGCCGGTCAATGTAATAAAAAAAACTAAATCGCGGAATTTGTTCGGAAAAAAATACCGTATGACAACCTTGTTCCATAATAGTAGAAAAAATGAAATAATATTACAAGATGAAGCAATCGAAGTCAACGTGTTGAGAATTGTTTGCAGCATGCAAGGAATTTCGTCTCTTGGCATAGGTAGCGTAGGCAACTGATAAAGGCTGCATTTCAATAGGTTTAGTGAATATTTCTTTTTGAAGCTTGAGGACAGGAGAGTTCTAATATTATCTTGTAATATCTTGTATTAAGTTTTATTAAATAAATTCGTTCTAAAATTCTCTTTCAGTCATTCTTCTCCCCGCTGTATTCAGTGCGCTATTCAAAAGACAGAGGCTGTCCAGAGGAATCCACCCAGTACTGAAGATAATGGAAAATAGAAATAAACTTCTCAATGGTCATATAATATCATATTTATCACTAAAGGAGCCGCTGTTACGGTGGCTTCCTCCTATTCACCGCTTCATTCGTTACCGCTGCAAAGCTTACAATTATCCTACACGAAAATTTTATATCCATATTAAAAGTAAAGACAAAAATTATGGAGCTGACCAAAATTAAAAACCCTAATAAAATTTAATTAACACTAACAAAAATATAACTGAATGGCCACGACAACATGGAAGCTTGGCACAAAGTTCGGCACAACCACTTGTTCATCACACACCAAGCAAGCAGCATCAGTTATGTGCGTGTAAAGTAATATAACAATTAATTCATTAGACTTATTGAGTAAATTCCAAACGTCCCTGATTCACGGACGAGTTCACAGTTTCCGCATTTGCAGTTTCAATGAATCAACGTTATGCAAACATGAATTTATGAGGTATACAGCCTCTGATTTATGGCACAGCTAGCAATGCAACAGGACTGGACAAGTCAAAAGGAGGACGAGAACAACAGAAAAAGCCGTGATTTTCAAATAATTCCATAAAATGTAACTAACTAACAAGTCTTATCATTAGACACTTGAATAATAATTGCTACTGAGGTTCAGCAAATGCATTCAATTGCTGCTTCTCAAACACGCTGTATAACGGTATTGAAAATACGTTTCGCTAGGGCCGCTAGACTTTCCAAAAGTTCTCAGTTAATCACGATGTTCTCAGGTTGACACGAATGGGTAGAAATATTGGCCTAATGCTTTATCAAATTATATAGTAAGAACAACAATAATATATACCTAACTTAGAGACGTATATAATAGAACCCGTTTCTCCGTACACTTCTATCGTAGGTGCGTAGAATATCAACAGTTGAACTCCTGAGGACCAGCGAATTGAACACGAGGCGTTGCTTGTAATGCAAGGCATAACTCAATTATTTACATTGTGCAACATACAATAAATTCAGATAAACAAAGGCTAAAAAAAATTCAACAAGCAGCAACTCCTTAGTGTAAACACTCTAGAAACTCTAGACGTCTAGATTTTTTAACATCTAGACGTGCTAAAAAAACGTTTGTTTAAGGCAGACATCGTTTACCCCGAACCATCTTATCACTCAGTGATATTGATGAGACGTCGTCCAAATACCGATGTATTTATGGCCTCGTGTAGTAGGTCATCCTGACCCAGTTTGGCCGGAAAAATGGACCTTATGAGTGCTACAAGCAGGAAGTGTGTCATAATTTGGACAATATAGAATAAGAATAGAATAGAAGTGTCGGCATTGAAGAAATAGGCCCATGGTCTGTTGCCGATTCTTGAACTTTTCGTGCCTTGATTCACAAGGGATCCGGACTTATGAACCCGATCTTTCCATAACTGACGATTGATTGAGATAGCTGCTGGACTTATTGCCTGGTCCGTAATTTGCTGGGCATTTCAAGACTGAACATATGCTCCTGCATAGCCCATATATTTTATAGCCCATAATATAGCCCATACATTTCTCTGAGGAGTAACACCTCGCTGCCCCCAGCGTCACAGTTGATGTTCCACGCACTCGTCCATCGCAATAAACATATTTATTTCATGGCGAGTATTTGAACTGCGATTAAATATCGTACAGGAAGAAGGCTTATATTAATCTTAACAGTATTAACAATAATATTTAATGATAGGCGTAATAACAATAATATTTAATGATAAGCAGGGACAAACAATGCAGAAACTGAAGATGAACATACAAATTCTATCAAAAATTGCTGTACAAAGTAACGGTTGTCATCCAACCTGGTGTATTGGGTGGCATAATGAGCCAGCGTTATCCTTATCAAGGCTTATACATTAAGAAATTATGGGGAAAACTGAGCAAAGCAGGCTGGGAACGAGCTGTTTGTAAAGGATTTATTGTAAACGATTTTTTGTGAAGGATTATTTGTGAAGGAGTTTTATATAGGATTTTATTGAAGGATATTTCGTAAAGGATTTTTCATAGGATCATAAGGGATTGGTAAATGATCTGTCCAATGTTCACCTCACAGGAGCTCGAATTATTAAAATAACAACGATAAAAATTATTAATTGGCATTAAAAATTGACAATAATATTAATAATTGACATATTAATTATACAAACACTTGAGCAGCATTTACTGCGTTCAGTATAGTTACAGTTGCAGCAATCGCGCTCATATAAATGTGTGAGATTATGTCTACATGGCGATGCTTCGACGTATCAAGGCTACGTCCGCACTCAGCTAGTGCTGTAAACGCGTCAACATTTGGGCACTCCAGAAAAGTTTCTCGTCGTGTGTATTGTGTCAGTGTATGCGAAGAATTTAAAGTTACATGTGTACTTTGTGTACATAACACAGCGTTTAGCTGCAACACGCACCAGATGTATAGCTGCAACACGCACCAGATGTATAGCTGCAACACACACCAGGTGTATAGCTGCAACACACACCAGGTGTATAGCTGCAACACGCACCAGGTGTATAGCTGCAACACGCACCAGGTGTATAGCTGCAACACGCACCAGGTGTATAGCTGCAACACGCACAAGTAAGGTCTACCCAGACCTCAACATCCATCCTCCTCCGAGGACGAGGGATGATGTCTGTTGAGTTTAGCAGCGCTAGTCAAGGAGTCCGGCAGCAAGATGTCGTACTCCTCGTCCGAGAGTTCATACCAGGGTTTCTCTGAGCCTTTGGCTGGGGCTTTCTGAGCCTTCGATGTCCCAGGTCCCGAGCTTTGGTCCCGGGACATGGGGTCGGGGCTGTTGGAGGTCTCGTCTTCACCGACGTTCTGTTTAGGGTCTTGCAAGAGTTGGGTGTCGGTGGGAGGGTGTTGTTCATTATTGCACTTCTTGTTCGAGGTTTCGGTAATATTGTAGAATATTTCGTCGTTTGCATCGGTTTTATCTTGTCTTGATTTTTGAGGTCCAGGGGTTGCGTCGACGCAAATTTTTGCGTTTCTGTCATCTGCGCTTTCCTGTTAATAAAATAACTCATAAAAAAAGTTGGTGACGTTTTAAAAGCTGCAAGTTTGCTTTTTCCTCTTTTCATTGAGCCATTTTTATATCAATAAGACAATAAAAGCGAAAATTTGCTTCTGATTAATTTGATTGTAACAAACCAAATGATTCTTAGCTTCATGACATGCAGCACATACGGGGATTCTCATACCAATTCGGACGTGAAAAAATGTTTGTTGAAAAATGAAGAAGTTATTACAAAGATAAAGAAGTAAATTATTAGTAGAATTTATTTGGAAAAGGAAATGAACAATAACAAATGATAATTTCCTAACGAATAACGACGAAATGTTAATTAAGAGAAAGGATTACAAGGAAAACAAACCTGACAGCTGAACTAACCGTTCTTAGGTTCGTTCCCTCCAAGCTGGCGTTAGCAGTGACGCTCTTCTCTCTCCGCCGCGGCGACTCAGCCGCCAGGGAGACGCGCGACATGCAAGCTTCTTCAGACACGGACATCAGCATTTCATCGTGACCGGAGGGCGGCGCCACGACGCCTGCAGTTCCCTCCTTTGTGTGCACGCAGGCAGCACCACAATTGCTGACACTTGTTGTGCTGCTCATCGAGCTCGCTTTGCCGCCACTCAAGTTACGAGTTGACTCGCTTTTCGAGACATCGGAGGCATGGGACGGCGGGGACAACGCAGATTCTGTCTTGGAGACTTCACTGGGGGCTGGGGACATCCGGCCCCCAGTGTTCAACTCTGCTGACGGGAGGAAGTCATGAGTGAGCGATAGTGCTCCCTTCTGCAGACCATGTAGGGGCAGTTGATCACTTTTGATGAATGCTGGAAAACTTGAACTTGACGATCCTGGTCTGGACAACATTTCGCACTTCGAGGCTGATGATTCCGGTCGAACTTCCATCCCTGAGTTTGAGGAGCCATCATCCACTTCCGATCGTACTTCAAGGTTCATAATTTCAATGAACTTTTTAGGACTTGATGCAGGAGATATTGTTGAATGGTTTAGATTTGCATTGGGTGGAGGTGGAGGACGACGAGTTGGAGGTATGGGTGGTGGAGATCCACTTCCTATACCAAGCTCTTCAACCCGGGCAAGATGCAAAGTTCCCCTCGGTGGAGGTAGACTCAACATAGTCTTTAAAGTTGGCGACGTCTGTGGAAGGTTTTTGAACTTCATGTTGTTAAAAGACGGAGTAACTTCTTTGCGTCTCTTCAATTGAGCCCCCAACATTGGCATTTCATTTAAAGATTCTTCAGGGAAATTGTGCGAAGAACTATGACTGTTTTCTTGACTAGAAGAGGTGGTAGCTTCGGGTGCGGTAGGTAGGTCAATCACAGCGTCAGTTGCTCTCAGCATTTTATCGCCATCTTTCCCATAGCGCTCATGGGACTGCGGAGGAACTGCACTCTCAGGCGTGTCATCAGCGCCAGTGGCTTCGGTTGGTCTTCCATTACATAGGTCATATTTTTCAGGGTCTCCAGGCGCACTGATGCAAGGATCGCTTTCGTCTTTCAGTTCCTTGTTGATTACAGGTTTCGAAATTTTTCTTTTGTTGGACGGCCATTTGGGTTTAATTGAAAATTTTTGAAGAAATCCTTTGCGTTTAAGTGAAATGTCCTGTTCGTCGGTGGAAGCATTGTGCCGTTGATAGGAGGGTTGAGAGGCATCCGTAACAACGGCTTCTACGGACGCCTCAAGCTCTAAATGGGTCATCTGTGGTTGCTGGGGAGATCCTTCAGGTCGACGTTGCTTGGGTAAGCCAGGACCTCGCAGACCACTGAGACTGAGCTGTTGTGGCACACGAGCTTGAACTGGAAGAGAGTCTGCATTGGCGAAACAATTGAGGTCCCTTGCATCTACACCACCCTCGATTGACGTGGCAGTTTCATTACCCGATATAACGTTTCCAGATGCAGAGTTTAAACCACCCAGTCCCTGTTCGTAACGGCTATTGCAGACACGCTTACCCCTCCGATCCGGTGACATTCTAGACTTCAAATCTTCCTTTGCTCCATAGATGGGTTCAGTGTAACTTTTATTCTCGTTCTGTCCATCCGAATCTTCTTGTTCGTCACTTGAAGGTTCGATAACTTCTAAAACAGAACAAGAGCCGTTCTCAGATGTGATGGCAAGTTCTCTCAGCCTAGCTATCATTTCTTCATTATCTATTCTGCGTGGAATCTTTCCATAAAGCGACGCTATTGAGTCGGTGTCATCTTTGTTTCGAATGGAAATTTCGCTGTCTACATTTCCAGCGGGTTTACATTGAACGATTCCCACGGATGAGGCACCAGTCTGTCTGTGGTTTGCCGAAAACGGCGCTCCGTAAAATGCCCGATTGTCGCCGGTTGGGCTAAAGGAAAACCTGTTGCTCGGGCTGGCAACGCCGCGCATATTGCCAATACTCATGTCTGAGCTTGGCATGTGGCTAATACTCATCTCCGTGCCACGCATGTTGCCAATATTCATGTCTGGCACACTACAGTCTGGCATGATAGGCGAGAGCTCAGGTTCGGTGGTGGAGAAGTAGCTGGCCTCTCGCTTGTGCATGGCGAGAAGGTCGTTCCCTTTCACCCGAGTTTGGGATGAGGGAAAAGAGTCCCTGTCCCGACGATGGAGTTGGAGGTCGCATTTCTCGTAGAGTCCTTCTTCGTCACTGAAGGGGTACACGTCTTCACAGATGGATTCTTCAGACGAGCAGAGAGAAGGAAGGTCCCCTAATTTGCCCTCTCCGCCTTGTGCCCGCACGCTCAGAACTTTCCCTCTGAAAACAAAAAAAAATTTACGCACTAAACCTAAAGCGCATTTGTTTACTTAATCTTCAAGGCAGAAGAAGAATATAAATAAACGTCTGTTTGCACATTTACCGATATTTTATTTGTCGAATTCTAATAAAAAACGCTATAGAAAAATAGTTAGGCAGGTCAATTAAAAATTCGAGCATCATAAACATGTAATTTTTTCACAATAAGAGAATGACGATATGGGTGAATTTGCAGACATAAAAGTACAAACAGCGTATGAATCGAAATCCATAGTAATGATGATGCACAGGGGAAAAGTATTGAATCGGCTATTTGAATTCCAATAATTTTTAGGTCGTTACTCATACCAAGCATCCAAGTCGGGCAGAAGAACTGAAATGTCTGAAAAATATCGGAAATTCGTGGCTATTTCAGGAGAGCTGCCCACACATATCGCCCCTACACGTCTATAGGATGGTGTGTGGTGGTCTACCTGAACACGTCCAGGGATGGTGTGTGGTGTGTGGTGGTCTACCTGAACACGTCCAGGGGATGGTGTGTGGTGGTCTACCTGAACACGTCCAGGGATGGTGTGTGGTGTGTGGTGGTCTACCTAAACACGTCCAGGGATGGTTTGGGGGGTCGTGGTGTGTGGTGGTCTACCTGAACACGTCCAGGGGATGGTGTGTGGTGTGTGGTGGTCTACCTGAACACGTCCAGGGG